TTGAGCAATCTCAGAAAGTGGAGTAATTCCATTCTTCAGCTCAGCTTTGTTCAAGGCTACCGCTGGCTGCGAAAGCAGCGCAAATGGCTTTCATCGAGCCAGGAACCACCAGTGTTCTTGCCTTTTACTGCTTTGTCTTTCAAAAAAAGGAAAAAAGTAGGGCTTTTGGGCTTTTGGTGAGTGTCATTGGCAAAGGGAGCTGCGCACCAACATCGCGAGGGTCGTATATAACTCTGCGATCCAGTTTTTTGGATAACTGGGGATCTGTTTTCACGACTCTTCAAGCAGCAGTGCTGTTCTGCAGTGCATGGCTGAAGATGCTCCTGCTCCTTGGATGGGCAGAGTGTCACCAGGAAGACAGTGCAGGATTCTTGCAGGATTTTGCATGGAAAAAGAGCCATCACAAGCACCGGTCCAGCACCTCACCAAAAAGTGTGATTCTGTCGTTGGCTGCGCTCTCAGGAGATGCGGGATTAGCTCATGTTGCTTTTAGAAGAGCTTTTATAGAAACCTCTCAAGTTCCCTCGCTTCATGGAAGAGCTGTAATCAAAAATAAACGGACATGATTTAAAGAAAAGAAGCTAAAGCACCGCATCCAGCGTCTTTGGACTCTCTCTTTGGAGAGAGTTTGTTGGTTGAGCTGTGGTGCTGCTTCTCCACCGTTTTCCTGCTGCTGTTGGACGTGCACAGGGCTGTTTGCAGCTTTTTGTGGAAGGTGACTTTCGTGGTGAATGCAGCAGGATTTAGAGTCCCGTTCCCAGGAGGTGGCTGTAGATCTCGTGTTTGTTATGAGATTGCACTGCAGCAATCATCGCCTTCAAGCCAGCAGAGAGCCAGGGCTCTCAGCAATGCACTGCCCTCAGCAGGGGACATATATCCATCAGTGTCTTTAGAGCCTGCTCAGGCACACACAGACAGGTCAGGGCTTCATTTTCTCAGCACTAGCCTCCCATGGCACTGTTGGGTTCAAACACAAACCCAGTTTGATGCCTTCAAAGTCTGGAAATGGGGAGGAGTTTGAACAGTGGAAAGTTGGTTCCCTGCACGAATAGGAGCAGATGCTGTGATGGAAAGCGAGGGGGGAGATGAGCAGGTGGGATTTTGGAATGGGATAAGGCAAGGAAGTTTGGTAACCTTTGCAGAAGTGATTTGCTCGCATTTGGCTCACATCTGCAATGCTGGAAAGATGCTGGGATTTACCTGGTGGCAGCTCACCCACCTGGATGGATGCAGGGCTCAGGCTCCAGCTCAGGATGGTTCAGCTCCATCCCTTTGCAAGCAGGTTTCCGCAATGAGCTACATGTGAAGAAAGGATTGACTTCTTCAGTCTGTCAAAAGCAAAGAACACCCTGCCATGGCAGAGCTATGTGGTGTTTTTTGAGTTTATCTCTGAGCCTCAGGTATGAGAACACCTCCAAGGCCTGGATGCATCCAGCAGTTACGCCTTGCAGGATGGGATGGAGGTGAAGAAGCCGTTTGCTCCGAAGCCTCCAGGTGTGTGAAACTGGTGCAACAGCAGATGTTTTAATGTGGCTTTGCTTTAACCGAGCTGCCCGCTCCTTCCTGCACTTACTGCATTGCAAACAAAGTGCTCCTTGTCTCTCCCTTGCAGCAAACCTTGCTCAGCTAATGTCATTTGTCAAGTTAATCAAGGAGAGTGGGCACTTCGATGGCTGCTGCATAGCCTGGCCGCATTGCCATGGAGACAAGCAGCCACACAGGCATTTTACTTGCCCCGCTTTGCTCTGCAGAGATTTGGCATGAGAAACCACTATTGTATTTGACGTCAACCAACCAACTTGCTGAGGTTGTGAGTAGTTTCTCAAGGTTTCTATCAAGAGATTGGGAAGGCTCTGGCTAACCTTTTGCAGAGCAAATAGTAATGTTGCTGCTAAAGCAATTCCAGGGTCTGTGTGTGCAGCTCCTCATCCCACAGATGTTAGGCTGTGCTGGGAGCTGTGTGAGAGAAGTTACAGCCCAGTAGCTTGGGTTCGGGGCTGCCATTGAGGTGGCATCAGTCCTCTCCATCTGAGTGGTTTCACAGGTGGCTCTTTGCCTACAGGAGCCATAACCATCATTTAAGATACCTTGAAAAGCACCAAGTCCTGTGTTTAAGCATCTCAAAAGCCTGAAATCTCCCCAGCAGCCTGTGGGATTTATGAGCCATCATGCCTTGATCGCATTTGAAACTCAGAAGGGAGTGCTTTTGAAAACCGTATACTTGGGCTGACCTCTTGCATGAGGCGGGATATAGAGCTTCACCCCCCAGCTCCTGCACCAAGCCCAGAAGTCAGAAACAAAGTCTGGGTATTGAAAGGCAAGATGCTCGTGCATGTTACAGAGCTCACAAGCTGTCCTGGCTGTCCCTCTCCTCCCTCTCATGTGTGTATGTGAAATGATGCATTGGAGAGGTTTGGGAATGCTCCTGTGAGCAGCACAGTCGAGACCTGCAGGCACCCACCGGAGGCACAGCCACCTGTTAATCCCCAGTGTCGCTGCGGGACAGCAGAGGAAACCTCGCACCAGCACAGAAAGGGCAAAAGTTCAGATCGGGTTGTTTATGGGATTTTATGGAGCAGGAGCCAAGGATAGCTCAGCTAATCCAGAGGAAACTGTAGCGATGGCGTTAGAGTGCATTTCACATGGGATTCATTCAGCGCGTGCTCAGATGGACCAGTCTTTCTGTCTCCGTTTTTTTAGCCATGAAATATTTTTCTTTACATTCCCGGCTGCCAGCCGCACCGAGCCAAACTCCCAGCTAGGCTGTTTTAAGAAAAAAAGGAGAAAAAAATAATCCCACTTGTCATTTGACCTGCCGACAAGTTAGCAGGGCTTCAGCGCGGCTCCCAGTTACACCAGTGCCCGGTGCTGCTCTGGCCCCCAGCCGCTGCCAGCCACCCTGCACTCCTGCCTGCCGCAGCATCCTCGCTGCAGCATCGCGCTTGCTGAGGCGAAGCCCTGGTGAGGGTGTTGGCTAAAAATTCAGCTAAAAAGCCCGCACAGGGAGAGGAGGAAGGCAGCAGCTTTGCTGTGCCCTCCTGCTCCTCAGCACCCAAAGCTGCACCAGCTCCATGTGGTCACATCCTGTGCACCCTGCCATGGGTGCAAAGCTTCTGGGTGCTTCCTGATAAGATTTTCCTGCCCATGCTATCAATCCAACCATGCGCCAGCTGCCTCCTCTTGATGGGGGCTGTCTTGGGTGATATCTGGGGGCTGGTGCTCCGCGTGTGGATGTGTTGAAGCAGGAGAGGATGGGGTTTTGCAGAGTGGAGAACAAGCGTGTGCTGTTAGTTTGTCTTTGGCCGTAAAGGCATCCCTGGCAGGAGGATGCTCAGGCGTTACCTTCAACTCACCGCTACCTGCAATATCAGAAAAAAGATATCCCCAGGAACCTTTAAAAGCCTCAAGCTCCTAAACAGTAAAACAAAATACAGAACTTAATAATCAGGTGGAAATTACATCCAGCCCAAAGCTGGAGGTAACAGGTAAAGGCTTCACGCTGTAGTGTGCAACAGGAGCAAGGATGGGAACAAGTGTTCAGGACTCGCTTACAGGACATGAGGTAAGCACATTGCACCTGTAGCAAAGAGGAGGTGCTGTTCACGGCTGTCTATTGTTTTGGGTTTTTATTTAAAATAGGTTTACACCTCACTCCATGGAGGACACATTTTGAGGGAAGCACAGGGGCTCCATGGCCAGCCTTTGCGCATGTGTAGCTGGGGCTAGCACTGAAAATGGGTGCTCCCCCTCGCCCTGCCTCCCACCCCTGGGTGCTGCTCTGCCAGGATGCCCAGCACCCTCGGGCCATGCTGCCCCGCAGCCCCCCAGTGCCGGTGGCCATAGAGGGACCGATGTTGCCATCTGCTGGCTTTGCTGCACAGGAGCAGCAAGAGCTTGGCTCGCCCCTCTTGGAAGTCGCCCATGGGAGCGTGTACTGACCCTGTGCATTGCCCTGACCCAACCCTGAGCCTTCTGCAGGTGTTTTGGGGGACAGGATGGGTACCAGCCCCACTTAGGCTGTGCTGCTCCCCACACCCCATCCCACACTGCCCATGCACAAGGGCATCCCCTCCCTGCGGGGTCTGAAGCGTTGGCCTTTGGCACGAGATGCTCTGGGAGAACCCACAAAGCTCCCATTAAGGGAGCTCCTTCCCGTGAAAGACATTTCCACCACTGATCATCACTGTCAGGTGCTTTTTCCTTCTCCGGACTTGTCTTTATTTCCTTTCTCTTTCAAGTTCTTGGCAGTAACTCCCAGGCTGGGAACACATCCCTGCCATAGCAAGCACCCGCGGAGTAACAGCACCCTGCACATTTCCCCCAGCGATGGCCGGGAGCTGTGGGACCACCAGCTCCAGCCCAGTTCCTCCAATCAGCCCTGCAAAATCACTGCTTTGCCCGCAGGAGCAATGGGGCTGAGCCTGCACAATCAGTGCCAGCTCACTCGGGCATTGCTCAGAGGATGAGGTTACTGCTGGAAATCTATTATCTTTTCTTGGCAATTAGCAGCAGTTAGGAGCCCTGGGAATACATGCATGAAGACTGGGCTCGATGGTGGAGCTTGACCACACATGTTGAGGTCAGGATGGGGAGCAAGCGAGACGCTGTTTGCTCTGGCCCGAGAAGACAGCGATGTGTGTTTGTTTTCTATGCTATCTCTCACACAGCGTTTGTTTTGCTTGTCGAGCATTTCAGGAGATAAAATGACCTAAAGGGAGATTATTTTATCCTAATTTAAGCTGTCAATTTATCACTGACTTCTGCTTGTCTGCACCAGCAGGACGGCTTGCTCGGAGTCCCTAGGGAAGCCTCAGCTAGAAAGTGCAAATCTGGGGGGGGAATTGCTGCAGTCTCACATCTCATCTGTGCTTGTAACAACAACCACAAGCTGCTCCCCCGTCCCCCGTGTCGTGTCAGTTCCCATCGCTATGGACTGGCCTGGCTTCCCAGTGGCCTCCCTTCGCTAACTGGGCCCCGGGGTGGTTTCTCTCTTGCTGCAGGCTGGTGGAGGAGTTCATGCTGCTGGCGAACATGGCCGTGGCCCATCAGATCTACCGCTCCTTCCCCGAGCAGGCCCTGCTGCGCCGCCACCCCCCGCCCCAAACCAAGCTGCTGAAAGACCTCATGGAGTTTTGCAACCAAGTCGGCCTCGACATCGACTTCAGCAGCGCGGGGACCCTGCATGTGAGATTTCCTTTCTCTGCCTTCTCAGCAGGTCCTGGGGAAGGCATTTGTTGTGTACCACAGGAAAAGCAGCTCTGCAACGGGGTGTTTCTGGGCTGCTGAAGGTCTTTGGGAGGGCAGGGCGGGAAGTGGGGTGGCTGGGAAGAACCAGAGAGCGATGCTGGGAAAGGTCGGTGGCAGCCAGCGCGGGAGGTATCCGACCGATCCTTCGCTGAGCGTGTCCCGAGGCTGAACTCCAGCTGGACGGCACAGCGCAGGTTCCAGGATTTTCTTTACTCGCTGCAACTGGACTGTGGATAATCCTCTGTTAATCCCGTCCCCGCTGGCCTCCTGCACGCCCCTCTGTCGGCCGAGACTGCTTTCCCCACTCGCTGCCTGTGCCAAGGCTATGTCAGCAGACACGGGGCTGCGCACTCAGCTCCTCTCCTGCACTTTGAACCCTCCAGCCCTTCCTCACCGCCAGGCCCAGGCAGTGACCTCCTGTATCCATGGCTCCCCAGAGCCCCATTAGCCCTCAGCAGCTGGATGGGAGCCAGGCGCGGGTCACGAGAGGGGCTGCACATCTGGGGATGGAGCCAGCGGTCCCCGTGCTCTGGGTGCTCGCTGCTGTTGACCCCAGGAGGTGGCTCGGTGCTCAGGACCGTGTGTGCAGTCCTGTCAGGGCTGCAGGGCCAAAACAAAGCCCAATTTCACGTGCGCGTTTTGGCTTACGAGAGGATTTGCAGGGTAAGGAAAAATTGGCTCTGATGAGCTGCTGTTTGCCCTAGTAAGGTCTTCCTGGGTCCCCCTACCACCACAGCTTGCCAACACTGAATGCTCTCTCTCTCTTTTCCCCTCCAGAAAAGCTTAAATGAAACATTTGGTGCTGACAAATACTCTGAAGCCAGGAAAGAAGTGCTGACCAACATGTTCTCCAGGCCCATGCAGGTGAGAACAGCGCTGTGCTGCCGGACGTGTCTGGCTGTAGCTGTTTGCTGTGGCTCCATCCTCAACCCTCACCCCTTCTGCGTCACCATAGCTGGTCATTTCGTAGGGGCAGAGGGGATGGACGCTGAAGATGAGGCTGCAGGGCTCCCAGCAGCTTGCCCCAGTGCCTCCAGCCCCAGGCAGCTGCTGCAGGTGCTTCACTGGACGGCGGGGTCAGGCCGAGCCTTTCCTTGCACCCTGTAACATCCCCGTTATTGCTGTTTGAGATGGTTCACCCTTGAATTTCCATGTGGGATGTGAGCAGATTCACATGGACCCACCCTGCTCCGTGAAGGCATGCTCCATGGTTCGTGTTTGTGCCATTTCTTTTTATCATGGTGTCCAAACTGGTGCGAAGAAGGAGTCAGGAGCAAGGATGTTACAGAGATGTGGGACTGGCCATAAGCACAGCCTGGTACTCAGACACATGGTCTTAGAAACCAGGTCAGGGAAGCTCTGGAAAGCCTTTGGTTTCCCTCCAGACCAAAAGACCTTCTGTGCAGGTCTCTGTGGTGGAGGCTTGTACTGCTCACATTGATTTCATGTTTGGAACATTTCCAGCTCAGGACACTTACTGGGGTGCTTATCACCCTCAAAAGAAGTTTTTTGTGAAGCATCTGCCTTCTGCATTTGCATCTGGGCATAGCACAGCCTCTTCTGAGGGAAGTCCGACCCCACAGGGAAAAGGGACACATTCCCAAAATGGTCTCTCTGCTGTGGCCTGCTTATCGCTGCAGGAATGAATCATCTTCCCCACATCACTCATTTGACTGTCACTCTTCTAATTAGCTTATTTGCTCCATTTACTCATTAGCAGTTGCCTGAAGTCCTGCTGTACTTTAATGACTCAGTGCTTGCTTGCGAGTGGGATCAGGGACTGGAGCCGTTCAGTAAATCAGCCTCTCGTGTATGTGTCCAGCTCGGGACTGCTGCTTTGTGCCTCTTTTGGAGGTATCAAGGTTTTGGAGACGAACTCTTCTGTGGAGTAGATACCAGAGGGTCTGGGGAAGAAAGAGGAGCACTTAAAGGAGATATTCCATGAGATGTGATTTTGGCAGGAATTAGACTGGCTTCATTATCAGAAGACCAAGGTGCCTGAGTGTTCAGGTGCGCTGTGCCACCACTCACACCTGGAAAACCTGCCGTCAGCCAGGCAAGCAGATGCTCCCCTCCTGTGTTTAGAGCTGCTTCCAGTATGAGCCAGGACGTGCCGGTGGCGGTGGATCCGTGTGACCTGCAGCCCATAGGGAAGGACCACGGGGCTCCAGGGGTGAGAGGCATCAGCCTTGCAAGTCTCTGGTCCCTGACCATGCTTGCTGCAGGGTGGATGCACAGCTCCCCAAAATCCCGAGTGGTTCAGATTCCCACTGTTGTTTCTGAGGATGTGGGTAGCACAAAGCCACGTCAGTGCTCCTTGGAAAGGGTTGACAGCCATGAAGCAGAGGATTTTGTGTTGTCTGCCACCAATATCAGAGCAGATGGGAGAATTGGCCCCATCCCGCCCGTGTCCCCGGACACCACAGTCTCTCGCTGTGGAAAGGACAGATCTGAGCGCTGGCAGCTGCAGAGCATAGCTGTGTGCTGGTGTTGAGGGCTGGGCCGTGGCTTTGACAGATGGCATGGGGAGACCGTCTGGTTGTGGAGGAGTTACCTGCATCCCTGAGTGCATCTCAGCTCCTGGTGATAAAGCTGGTGTTTCGGGGACAAGGCTGCAGTTAAATCAGCCTAAACGAGCTGCAGGTTTAACCCATGGTCACACCAAGCCTGCATCTTCCATCTTTGCTGCACGCTGGTGGTGAAGGCATCAGCATCTTGGAGGAGGAGGGAGATAGGAAGCAACTGGTGAGGAGTGTGTTTGGGGAGGGCCTGGATTGCCACACCAGGAGCCTTGTAACAGATGAAGGAGCAGCGATGTATCGTTTTTCATGGGCTCAGTCACTTGGGGATTCAATCTGTTCACGAGAGCGAAAGCCGCCCCTGGTTGGCTGGGGTTGATTTATTTCCAGGCTTCTTGTGGCTCTCTGGGACTTGCGGCAAACCCCACGGATTTGAGAGCACTTGTGAGTCAAATCTGTTAATGAGGAAACATGTGCTTTGTGCCCAGCTGGTGTCAGCAGGTAGAGCTGCTGTGGTGGCGAGGATGGGTATCAGATTGGGTTCCCTGCAACGTGTAACCTTACCGCAGCCCAGAGGAGCATTTTGGCTACGGTACCCAAGCTGATGCCAACCTCAGTGAGGGTCATGAGCTGCCAACAGGGTGACAAAAATGGTGCTGGGCCCAGCAGCAGCTGGATTTGGGCAGCACATCCATCAGGAAGAAGTACTCCAGGAAATAGCAAACAGTGCAGGACCTCCAGTGTCTTCTCTGACCGAAAACAAGGCCAGGGTTGCCCTGTGCTGCTGGGCATTGGGAAGGAATGAGCCTTTCCCAGCAGCTTTCTCATAGCAGGGATTTTGACCTGTGCCATTAAATGGGTATGCACTGCTTGCTACCTACTTGGCACCACAGGGACCTTCCCCATTTCTGCCCAGGAGCCTGGCATAGGTGCTGTGAATCCCCCGTAATTTGGTGCTGTCTGCCTGCACCAGGGCACTCATCTTCTCTCGCAGCAGCCTCCAGCGCTCGGCGTCTGTCCCTGCCCGACCGCGCCGAGCCTCGTTCAATGGGAGCCGAGCTAATTGAGTGGAGATCATGCTTTGCGGAGTCCATCAGAAACAATTTAATTCTGGGTTGTGGATGGCAGCTGCCACAGCTCCTATCCCAGCTCTTGGGTCTCATAAGGCCGGGACTGATGCTGCTTTTTTTAACCTGCTCTATTTACTTGCCCGGATCAGTGCGGTGCTGCTCAGCAGGAGCTGGCTGTGCTGCTGGGCTGGAGAGCGGAGGATGCAGCTGCCCAAACTGTGGATCCCAGGACCGCTCTGTAATCAGAGCCGGCTACTCCTGTTTTGTTAAAAATCACTTGCTCTTATTTTTAACCGGGTTCATTCAATCGCCACTGTGCTGTGACCCCGCCACAACCCCCCTGCCCCGCACGGCCTCCCCTCCCCGCCTGGGCTTGGGCCCCGTTGTTTTCCCAGCCCCGAGGGCTGGTGTTTCTCAGATGTAAAAATAAAAGCCATAACGTGGGGGATAACAGGGGCAGCCGGGAGAGGTTCAGGATGC